TCCTCTGCGTAGTTAACTTAACTTGTCCTTTAGACGCAGCTAAAGAGTCACCTGCCACAGGAGCCTTCGCCGCCTTCGCCGAGGGCCATGCCCGCTCCCACAGGCACTCACGGCACACGTCAAATTCAGTCACACTTTGCGCCTGAGTGTGAGTTTTCGATTAATAAGTCTATCCCTGCTGGGTTTTAAAGTATGTGTCATTCAAACCGCATAGACTGACACACTCACTTGTGCATTTCGCTGCATGTAAATTTTACCTTAAAAACGATCAAAAACAAATTCTGAATTCTGGTTCAACGGTACGGATGTCGAAGAGTTTTGGGGCAAAGTATACCAATGCCTTCCACTCGCTCCGAAATGCATTAGAAAGTGGATTGACATGGGGACAAACAGATGGATAGATACGGACAGATGACAGATAGGTAGCTGATAGATAATAGGTGATAGAGAGAGAGAGAGAGTTGGTAGATAGATGATAGGTGATAGGCAGATAAATGATAATTAAATGATAGATAGATGATAGATAGATAGATAGATAGATAGATAGATAGATAGATAGATAGACAGACAGACAGACAGATAGGTAGATGATAGATAGACAGACAAACAGACAGAAAGACGGACGGAGAGACAGACAGCCGCGGACAGGGGAGAAGACGGAGACCTTGTTCCTCCGCACACATCAGGGATCCACCACTATGTATCTGACTTTCACACCGTGGATGAAGCTCAGGCTGTTGTCACTTCATCTCTGTCACCCATCACTGTCCACGATGGGACTGCCACACAGGCCTTCGTGCTGTTGGGTGTGAACTTCTCTGCGTCCGGTCGCTGCCCACACTGCACGCTCTGCTCCCCGGCCCTGCCCCCGCCCCATCAGCTCGGCACCCTCCACAGGCAGGAGAACAGCAAAGGCCCCATTCGAACCCCCCAGGTTAGCTTTTGGAGAGGCCCCGGCTCAGACACAACATTGCAGAAGCACCCCGAAGTCTCGGAAGGTGAGCGACATCGGCCATTCATCGCTTATCAGATGTTTATTGGGACGGCACTTCAGGCTTTGAGGAATCGAGTTTACAACCCAGAGAGCTGCACCTGTGCTGTGTCCACACTGTTTCAGGTGCGGGCCGTGTCACCTCTGAGGTCCACTTGACTAAGCATCCTGGTCAGCCCACATCCGCCCCGTTTCCCCACCGGGAGCCCGATGCGAACTCCAGCAAGGACTCGACCACCACAGAGGCTAAATTCCTGAGAAGCGTCGTGGTTGGCAAAGCTGGAGTTGAAGCTTCGAGGAATCAGAACAGAGAATAAAGGATAAAACCCAAAAAAAGAAAGAAATAAAAACCCACTAAAGAATAAATGGCTCACACATCTATCTGCACGCTCTCTCTCCAAGTAAGCCACACTTGCCGGGGGGCCCTGCCCCAGTAAGGTGTCACCTCCAGGTAAACCCTGTCACCCGCTTGGGAAAGCGGACTCTCCAAACTGTTCTTTCGGAAGTTTCTGGAACAGGGCTCCCTCGTTCGGAACTCAGTGGCTCTCACACCTGCTTCTTCCCTGTCCCATTTTCACAGGTCTTAGCAAAACGCGTGTGTCGCTCCCTCGTCAGCCCACAAATTCTTACAGGGCTTGGAGCCCCGTTTCTCCGGGCCACAGCCAGGTCTCAACAGGTCACGCCGAAGGTCGACCCCTCCCACCTTTGGAAGGGGGCGGCGACCACACCGCTGTGTTCTCCCAGTCAGGGCATCGATCTCCCTGCCCGAGGAGACAGCGAAATGGTAAAAGTAGGCATTCGAACATAAAACCGCATCGATCTAAACCACGGTGAGCAGAGCCGGAGCGGCGGACGGTTAATCCGCGTTGGAGGGTTCTGTTACCCTAGTTTGCTCTCACGGCGGACCGTCGTTTTCATCCGTGATTGATCGGATGCCACATCCCCAGTCTGGAACAGAACTCTCAATTAGGCCCACCGTTTCCATGGAAACGTATGATCTATATTCTCTCCTGCTCCCTCACTGTTCCCCCGTGACCTCCTCTCCCACCGCCTGGCCTGCCCCCTGACCCCGATCCCATCCCCGAGGCCATCAGGGCGGCTGCTCCTCAGCCGAACGCGCCCGGCCCGACCTGTTAAGCACTCGGAGAGCTGCGCGGTTGACGCAGCGCCCGCTGACCTTCTGCGGCCACAGGGCCCGGGCCGGCAATGCAAATGTGCACTTGTCGAATGAGCACAGGACCCTGGAGATGTGCAAAGTGCTGAGCCAGTGTTCACGCATGGGGGCCGGCGGGAGTGGGGCAAAAGCCGCCCACCGGGGCGGCCGCGAGCCCCCTCGCGGTCTGTCCTTCAACTACAGTGTTAATTATGAGCCATGTGACTATGTGGCTCATTAAAAATATAATTCGTTTAAAATGCGCCAACAGCCTCAGCTCATCCGAACCCCTTCCCTTGGTCACGGACCCACCCCGGCTCCGGTCCCAGCGTTTTACGTCCCGTAGCCTCATCCGTCTGTTTTTCATCCCGAAGCCTCTGGATCTTTCCCACCTGGGTTACGGCCCTCTTCCCGCTTCGACTTCCTTCCGACCCGGTGTAGATGCCATGGCTTATCCACCTCCACGAGCGCCGGCCAGCGGCCAGCTCCGCCGGGTCCGCGGCGGGTGCCCACCCCCTTCCCACTCCCGCAGGACGGTTCACTCCCGGCTCCGTGACCCTCAGAGTGACCATCCGCTTCCCCGTCTCCACCTCCCGGCTGCTCGGCGTGGCCGGCCGCGGTGTGGACCGCGACTGTCACCTTCTGCGCCCTTGGTACCAGACCGCTCGGCCATCTTCCCGTGCTCACCTCATCCCCTGCTGTCACTCCAAGCGAGGCTCGGCACCTCGACCCCTGACCCCGTCTCCGCAGATGACCTGTGACCCAGAGAGGACGCTCCATCTAGATCCTGACCAGATCCAACCCACAGGCGCTGGACTACAGCGGTGAACGGGACGGAGGGCCCCGCTCCTCTGAAGGCCGGATCTCAGCGGGAGAAAATGACAAACCGACAGACAAGAAAAGCGTCTTCCAATGACGGGTGCCGCGGGAAGGGTGAATACGATGGCGAATGAAGAGCGGCCCTTCGAGTGGGTGGTCAGGGCAGGCTTCTCGGAAGAGGCGACACCCACAGGGAGATGAGAATTATCGGAAGGAGCTGGCCGTGCAAAGACCAAAGGGAACAGCATCATAAAAGGTCTAAGGGAAGAGGGGAACCACCGAGCACGGCGGTAACAGCAAGAAGGAAACGAAGTCATCCAGCAGACAGCGAGGGACAGATTAGAGCAACGCACGCTGAGCGCGCGGCCCAGGACTCGCTCTAAGCGAAGAGGCGTCCCTGGAGGGCTTGGAGCAGGGCCCGTCCGGTGGTCCCTGTGGGTGAGGTTAGGCTGCGTGAGTAAAGGTGAGGAGAAGTCAGTTCCTGACACGGTAGGAAGGAGGAGGCGTCGGGATTCGCCACGCGGTGACGCCGGCTGGCGTGCGGGGAGCTGGGGCCACCCCAGGCTTTCACTACGAGATGGGGAAGAAATCCGTATTTTTCGCACACCCGAGTTCGCGAGATTAAAGGGGATTAAAGGCTCGAACGGGCACTCGACGTGTCGAGAACCCTCATGATGTGATCTCGCTGTTGGCGGAACAGTTATAAAAGCACCCAGGACACTCCGAGCCCCGCGAGCTGCTATGTGAGAGGAACCGTCCCCCGTCTCGGCTGCCAGAGCGACCTTTTCATCTTTTCCCAGAGGCAAACCTGACCGTGTCACTCCTCTGCTTAAAAACCTTCGGTGGCCCGCACTGCACTGTGGCTCAGAGCCCACCCCTCGTCACAGCTCACGAGGCTCCGCCCGACGGGCCCTGGCACCTCTGCACCCTCACATCCCGCTGCCGCCCCCTGCCGATGGCATTTTGGTCCCAACCCCTTCTGATGGGACCGAGAATGCGCCAAGCCATCCCCCACCTCAGGGCCCTGGCGTGTGCCATCCGTGCTGCCCGGAACGGTCTCGCCCAGCCCTCCGGGGTCGTTCTCACGCTTCGGGTCTCGGCGCCCGTGTCACCTGCTCACGTGGGTCCCCGTGCCACTCGTCTGTGGCATGGCGGTCCCTCCATCTCCCTCACCGCAAACTGCAGGGTGCGTCTGTTTACCCCTGAGTCTCCCGCCGCGGGCGTGGACGCTTCGTCCGAACGGCAATGGAGTCTGCCCCGGGGGCCGCTCCTTCCGGAGCAGGGGCGGCCACCGAGCCGTGCCGTACCTTGCCGAAGCTGCCTTTCCCGAGCACCATCAGGAAGTTGAAGTCGGTCAGCTTCATCCGGTCCCCGCTGCCATTGCTGTCACATTTGGAGGTGGTGTTGGTCGTCTTCTCTTCCGGGGTCTTGGGCGCCTGACCGATCTTGGCCCTCTGGGGTGGGGGAAGCACACAGAAGCATCGTTAGGGTCTGCAGATGCCCCACGGGGAAGACACGTGTCCATGCTGGGAGCTGTCCTTCCTGCGGCTCAGGCCACCGGCCGGGGAAGACCCGACACCCGCCCTGCAAGGCCGGAAGCGGGAGCCACCCGCGTCCTGCACGGCTCCGCCTCGCCCTCACCTCCTAGCGGCCTCCAGAGCTCACTGTCCCATCTCCGCCACCACCGCCCCTCGTCACCCGTCACACCCGCCGAGTCGCCACCGGCTCAGAGTGCTCCGGCGGGACCCTCGTCTTCAGGACAAAGGCCTCGGTGGCCCAGCGGGATCAGGCCCTGCCTGGCTGTCCACCTCATCACTCCCCCCGGCAGCCCAGCTCTGGCCTTTGCACTGGCCCTTGCTGCCGTGTAGACAGCTATGACAGTCACCCCACTTCTGTGTGTGGACAGCTGACAGTCACCCCACTTCCCCTTCCTCGGGGAGGCCCTCCTGGGTCCCCTGTGCCAGGACTGGGGTCCCTATCCGCCCCCTTCATCCACTTCGCCTCCCGTTCACTCCCCCGGTGCCCAGGACACTGTGAGGCGCAGGTCGCGTCTCACTCTCTGCTGTAGCTCTCGACGGCTGGAAGAGAAAACGGACGGACGGCTGAGGCCACGTCTGTCCCCAGGCGGAGGGGGAGGGACCCGCCGCTGTGAGAGCCGGACGGTGACTCAGAGGCAGCGAATGCTGGGGAAGGAGGGGACGAGCGGGGCCCGCGTGAGACCTGCAGCCTCCGGGGCTGTTACCGGACTCTCCTCCGGGGGTGAGGAAGCCGTGGGGTCAGCTGCTCGGCTCAGAATCCTGACTCCGGCCGGGATAAGCTGTGTGACCCTGAGCTCACGACACCCCTTGGCCCACACACCCCGTGCCTCCCCGCGAAACAGCCAGAGGCCACAGCCGAGCCGGCCCCCTGCAGCCTCTGCGATCACAGCCATTTTCCCGGCTTCTGCCACACTGCCTGCCACCGTTCTGGAAAGCTCCACGCACGCGCCTGCCACAGGCCTGTGCCCGTGCCGCCCTCACGGCCGGAGCTCCGCCTCCCCAGGGCCCCGTCCCCTGGTGCGAGCCTCTCCCTGAGTGACCGGCACGTGACGTCACTCAGCAATCTCCGCCGCCTCACCGACCTCATTGTCCCCAGGCCCCTTAGCGCCACCTTACCAACCAGACACTTACTCCTCCCTCAACTTACTGTCTCCCCCTCACATGAGGACATGAGCGCCACCGGGGCGAGGGGCGGGCTGTCTGGCCCTCCGCCCTTCCCCGGGCGCCCGGAGCAGCACGCGGCACCGGGAGAAGCTCACTCGCACTTGGCGAGCCAACCCTTCTGCCCCTCTGTCCCCTTCCCGAGAAAACGAGACGGTGACATGAGATCACGTATCACGGTGTTTGTTCTCAGCACCGTTGCTGGCACGTAGCAGATGCTCAGTGAAGGGTCGATGTTACTATCGCTGCTGCATGATTCGGGGGTCTTCTGAAGAGAGAGAGGCCACAAAAATCTTTCCGGCGTTTTGAATATCAGAGAAGATTCATTCATTCATTCATTCATTCGAGGAACACGTGTTGAGTGCCCGCGACGTGCCAGGTCCTGCTCCAGACTCCGAGGAGAACAGAGAGATGCTCGCAGACTTGCTTTGCAGCAGGAACTGGGCCGTCCACGCCGTGTCCCAAAGACACCGGGGTGTCAGTCATCCAGGTAGAGAGTTTGGAGCCGGCAGCAGACAGGACGTTTACGGGGCAGAGAGCGAGACACGCTCCGGGAGCTACGTGCCGGTCCGTGTGGAGCTGGAGTGTGAGGCTGGGGTGGCACAGGACGCAGCCGAGGGCGAGAAGGGCCTCGTGGGCCCTGTGGGGACGTCTAAGCTGACTCCGGGTGTGCCAGGCCTTCACGCGTCCATGCGGTGATGCCACCACACGGAGGTCACCGGGGCTCGGCGGGGTGGCCCAGTCAGGAAACTGGTCCCCGGGGGGAAAAAGGGCCTGAGCACAGCGTCTGCAGTCCCGGGAAGCTTGCGTGAGGGACGGGGACTTCTAGGGCTGAATATGGGTCGGGGACGGGGCAGGGGGCACCGGGGAGCAGGTCGGCTCTGCCTCTGTTCTGAGCCCCTGGGAGGGTGGTGGCACTTTCCACGGGGGTGATGGCCGTTGGAGGGGCAGGTTTGAGTTCCGGGAGAGGCGAGAGGCCTGACCGCAGACGGCGACAGCGACCGTCACTGCTCTGCGTGTCCTGCTGACCAAGCATCCGCCACGCCTTCCTTTCCGTAACTCGTGATTCAAAAACTGAGCTGGATCCAGCGGAATGCGCACGTTTTAAGCATGCGGTTCTGTGGATTCTGACCAACGTACGCACGCAGCGACCCAACCCCCGATCGAGGCATGGGACCTCTCCGCCACCGGCTCTGAGGTCCCCAGGGCCCTTTCCCAGCCCCAACCCAGGACGATCCGTCCGGACTTCCATTCCCACAGGTCACCAGGTCACCAGAAGGACCAAACCGTGGGGGGAAGTTAATCATCGACTGTGTCCACGTGACGATGCCTCTAGAGAATTCAGTGAAGTTCGGGGTTCAGAGAGCTTCCGGGTTGGTGAGCACGTCCATGCCAGGGAGGGCGGGCACCCCGGGTCCACGGGGACAGGAGCTGCTCACTCGGGACGCTTCCGGACCTCGCCGTACGCGTCTCTTCGTCTGGCTGTTCCTTCGTACCCTTATCACATCATAAACGGAAACAAAGTGTCCCCCTGTGTTTTGTGAGCCTTCGTGGTCAATGATCAAATCTGAGGGGGAATCACTGGAAGCCCAGACTCATCGCTGGGCCAGACAGAAGTGTGGGTCACCTGGGGACCAGCTCGACTGGGCTCAGGTGGGGGCGGTCTCCGGGATGGACCCTTCACCTGTGGGGCCGGTGCCGACCCCGGGGAGCTGCAGGACGCCCGGCTGGTGTCTGCGAGGCCGGGGACGGTGAGCTGCAGGAGACGCATATGCACGGTGAGGCGCGTGACAGGTCCCTGGCGCTGCTGGACCTCGTCGCACGGCCGGGGACCAGCTGTGTGCCCCTCTGCACCGCCGGTCATGGGACACGCGCCGTGTTTGCCCACGCACCCTGCCACGGGCACTTCTGTCGCCTCGGCTTTTCAGGGACTAACAAGCCGCTGGGAACAGACGTGGTCAAGTTACTTTGCAGAAAGACACGCTGGGATTTAAGTGTTTCAGGGGTGACCAAGTGTAAATACCCAGCAGGCGACTGTATGTGTGGGTTTGGGGTTGAGAAACAATAGATGCACCGGAGACAGAGGTGTAGGGGTGACCGGCATAGACGGGGGGTCAAAACCGGGAAACCACCAGGGAGAACGTGAAGCGGAGAAAAGCCTGGATCGGAAGCTGTGCTGCCCTGCAGGGCGATGTCGTCTCACCACCCCAAAGCCGCCCCTCCCGCCCCCCGAGTTCTGCTCAGGCCGTCCTGACCCAAACCCACCTCGCTGTCCCCTTGCCTTCCTACCACGTGTCCACCTTCCCTGACGCCCGCCGTAGGACCCGTCCACTTCACATGCTCCATCCTCCAACCCGAGGGGACCACGGGATGGACGGTCCCCGGTCCCCAGCTCCCACGCCGGCCTGCGGGTCCCGTGCCTGGCCACCGGCAGAGCCCACATTGGGGCACGGGTGAAGAGCCCGCACATGCCGACCTCTCCGCAGCACTCGGCCCGGAGGGATTTGTTCCCTGTCCTTCAAGAGGCAGCGAGTGGCCACCAGCTTCGCCTCTCAGCCCTGCGAGTGACCTTCTTTCCTCTGAATCTGGGGCCGGAAGTCCTCTTGCCATACTCCACCACGATCGGCTTTTGTGACTTTCCTCATCGGTGCGTGCTACAGACCTATAATGTCTGTGTCCCCAAAGTTCTCGTGTTGAAATCCCACCCCCCACCACAGCGTGGTGGGATGAGGTCACAGGGGTGGAGCCCCACAGACGGGACTGGTGCCCTCATAAGAGATCCCACGGAGCTCCCCCACCCCTCCCACTGTGTGAACCAGGAGGTGAGCCCTCGCCAGACACCGAATCTGCCGGCACCTTGACCTTGGACTTCGACCTTGAACTTCCGGCCTCCAGGACTGTGAGACAACCAACGTTCACTGTGGAAGCTGCCCGGGCTATGGCATTGTTTTACAGCGACCCGAACAGCCTGAGACACCGTTCTCTCGGCTTCTAGATCCTGGACCAGATGCGTAGGAGCCCTCCACGCAGAGGTGGTGTTTTCCTATTTAAATAGGCTGACAACCACGGAAAACCAGGAGATGTCTTATAGAAACCCGATCCCCAGCTTCCTTCTAAGACAGCTGTCTCCCTTATCCATGGGTTCACGGCCCACGGTTTCCGTCACCCGCGGTCAACCCGTGGTCCAAAACATTAAACGAAACATGCCAGACATAAATAATTCGTAAGTTTTAAATCGCACGCCGTTCTGGGTAGCGGGAGAAAAGCTCCTGCCGCTCCCTCCCCCCGACTCTCCCCCTCAGGGCACGAATTGTCCTTCTGCTCAGTGTCCTCACCCGGCGGTCACTCAGCGGCCGTCTCCGTTATCAGATCGACCGTCACAATGTCGCCGCGCTGCGTTCACCCTAACTTTACTTAGGAGGAAGCCCCACCAAATACGCCACGTGTGGTAACGGCAACCCGCTCACCCTACCACGAGAGTGTATCACCCCGACTTCCAGCGGCTGGATCGACCGTCACTCAGAACGTCTCCAGATGAGAGAGGCTCGAAGGTCATTCCCGAGTCCTCCCAGGTGCTAAGTGGCTGCTGTAGACGGATGACACGGCTCACGTTCAAGGTCAACTGAACTTCTTCCACGTGTCTGAGAACAATTTTCAGTCTGCCGGAAACTTGTTTTTTAATCAACGACTGAGGTATGAAATAATCATAACTCAGGCATAAACAGGCGTTTGCTCTTGGTAGAAAGAGACACGTTCTGCTGTATGCGGATGAAACAGTCCTCTACGTCCAGCGAGACCTGGCCCCGACAAACGCTCGGGTCTCGTAGGAAACGTGTCCCTTCGATGGCCTGAAATGTCACCCCAGCTGCCCTGGGACAGAAGAAACCATTCTGCAAGACTGAGACTTCATTTTATATAAGAAAACACTGGCCTTGTTTGTTTGTTTGTTTGTTTGTTTTTGCACCTGCAATAATACCTTTCAACACACCGCAGACAGACACTCCATCAGGAAACTGAGGGACAGAGGCGGAAGGACGGGCTTCCTGTCCTGATTTTTATCACACGGTGTCCGGTTCTCGGCTCTACTGGGCGGGAACGCCCTTTGGACTCCGTGGGGCTTGAGCCAGCTCTGTGGGAATGACCCCCGCTGATCGGGTTCACTGGCAATTGACCCACAAGCTCTAGGCCAAGGTGTTCATTGATTCCAATTGTCTCCAGGAAGGGAGGTCCCACTGGGTCAGAAGCGTCACTACTAATCTGGGATTTCCGGAAGGCGCAGGCTGGAGACGAGGGTCCACGCTCGAGCACCACCTCTGTCTCGGTCGGTGGAAGCTAACGGGCTCCCGGAACTGACGGCAGAACCAGAATACTCTCTCCTGGGTCCACATCTACCGCTGCTTCCTGGATGACCCTGTCTTCTCAGCGTCCTGTGTCCCCCTCATTATGTCCTCAGAGACCACGGCCCTCTCTGCCACGGAACGTTCCCTGGTCATATTTTTTCCGTGTTTGCTTGTGGGATTACCTGATGAACAGCAATGACAGTGATCTATTTCATTTTGGCTGTTGTATGCATTTTTTCAGAGTCAGCGGCGTCGCTGCTCAGCTAGAATTGACAGCTTGCCATCAGACTCGATATGCTGAGGATGCATGAACGAAACCATGATTCCCCTTAAAAACTACTCGGAAATCGCTCGGCATGCACACGATGGAAGACCTCAAACCCGCCTTCCCCAAAACACCTTCTTTGTAAAACCGAGCCATGTCCCACATACCGGTTCCACCCATGCAGATGAAAATGGGGTTGTTTTGGCCACACCGAAGGGAAGGGCTTTGTCTGGGGTAGGAGCGGAGCCAGCACTAGAGCCCGAGGTCACAGCCCCTGTGTTTGGGGGATCCGCCCATGTGTATTTCACAGAGTCATCGGCGCGGTCACTGCCACCTGCCAACCCGTGCAGACAGACTGCGCCCCCAGCAGGCCGGGCCGGCTCAGCCTCCACCTGTCCACTGCCCTGTCCACCTCTCCCATCCGCCGTTCCCGCCGACGCAGTCTGAGCCACCGCCACATCACCCGGGCCCCGAGCGGGCGCCTGGGGGGCACGTCTAAGCTCCGAGAGAGGACGGGGCAGCTTCACGAGGCAGGGACACCAGCTCCGTGTCCTGAAGGATAAGCAGTTTTCTGGGCAACAGCACACGGAGGGGCCTCCGCGGAAACCACGCCGTGACCGGGGAGCACGGTGCGGAGGGCCGGCCGGCTCACCTCGAACTTCTGGCGCAGGTCGTCGTCACACTCGCCGCCCTCCGGCGGCACCGGCACGTTGAAGTACTCGCCTTCCTCCTGGCTCAGAAGCTTGAACCTGCGGGCGACAGGGGCACAGCCGTGACTCACCTCGACGTCACCCAGCTGACGGGGATGACAGACGAGTCCTGGGAAAGGCTCTGCGGAGCAGCACAGGAGGGTGTGTGCGTGCGTGTGTGCACGTGCATGCGTGTGTGTGCATGCGAATGCATGTGTGAGGGTGTGTGCGCACGTGCGTGAGAGCGAGTGTGTGTGCGTGTGTGTGAGTGCACGTATGTGCCTGTGACTGTGTATGTGAGCGTGTGTGAGTGCATTGTGTGTGTGCATGTGTGAGACTGCATGTATATGATTGTGTACACGCGTGTGAGTGTGCATGTGTGCGTGTGAGTGTGCGCGTGTGCATGTGTGTGAGTGCAAGTATGTGCGCATGTGTGTGTGTGGCCAGGTGTGCTATAATTTTGCAGCTGTTCAAGCAACATCAGAAAACAAACGTTTATTCTGGGCTCACAGGAGCTAAGCTCCCTCCGTCCCTCACTGTCTTCGCGTGCACACGCGTGCACACACACACGCGCGTGCACACACACCCCTGTCTTAGTTGTATCATTCGATACTGCACGTTTTGTCCCGTATTCTGACAGCGCCGCGAAGACCCCCCGCTGTCGCGTCTCCTCCCGCGTGCCCCTCCCCCACGCCCGGCTGTCCTTCACTTTACGCTGCCACCTTGCCGCCCTGGCCCTCGGGGACAGCTGGGTGACCATGGACGTGATGCTGCCTTTCCCTGCAGAGGCCGGTCCCTGGACACACAGAGTGTCGGTCCCTGGACACACGGATTCCCTCCGCGTCCAGGTCTCGCCTCTCCCCAGTCCTCCTCGGGCGACCTCGGGCGAGCGGGCTGGACCCTCGGAGCCTCGATGCTCCTCTTTAACTGGCAGAAAAGCCTCTTTTTCACAGGACTGTCGTGAGGCCGAGGGACGGGGGCGCATGTGAAATGATAAGCACAGAGGCTGGCACTCGGTGAGTGTTCGACCCAAGTCACCACCGTCATCACGTTAGTATAATAAACGTGACGTCACTGTCGTTATCACAACCGTGACGGCCGCACCGAGGCGCCCCCGTCTCGCCCCACGATGAGACGGGGCGAGGGAGGGAAAGGGACCTCCCACGGGCACGCAGCGCACACGGGGCAGAAAGATCCCAGCACTGCTCACTAAGGAGTGAGTATCACTATTTTTTTTTCCGCCATTCACAAATCTTCCCGGGCAGCTTCTTAAAAACAGGGGACAGGTGATTCCAGGGCGCGGGGGTGACCGTCTGAGCCTCGGCGCCTCCGCATTTAATCCTCAGCCCCTAATTCCAAGTCCCCACTGAAATGACCAAAAGAGATACAAAAATAAGGCTATCTGTATCTCTGCTGTCAGCCCGCAGCAGAGACTTCCAGGAACCTCCACAAATTAAAGAATGTGGAGCGGCGTTTGGCACACTATCCACCTTTGTGGATTTTGCTAAATCTGGATAGTATTATTGGCAATGCTTTTCATTAAATTGTCTCTTTTCTATAATACACTCGCTTTTGAAAGACACTTTGTATCTCTTAACTTGTAAAGAAAGCCAGCATCACTAGTTACAAGCAGAGAGTAACTGTGAAAAAATAAACATACACAACTCAGTGTTAGCCGAGTCCAGACGATGGTCACTAAGGGCTCTGAGACCAGTGCCCGCCACTCCTTGTCAGAACGGGAGGTCCGCCGGCAGCCCAGGACGCGGGCCACCCCTCTGTCCAGTGCGTCCCCATGGCAGACGCGCCCCGCCTGTCAGTCACGGAGGCGCCATCTGGGTTATCTGATCCATTGTCACGATGTCACAGGGCCTGTGTTCAGGTCGCCCTTACTTTACTTCTTAAGAGCCCAAAGCACACGAGCGGCGATGCTGGCCGTTCGGACGTGCCGAGGGGAAGCCGTGAGCCGCTCCCTTTAAGTGGAAGGGTGTGTGGGAAAAACAGAATCTACGGGGTCTAATACAATCCGCGGTCTCAGGCACCCACTAGGGGTCTCGGGACAAAGCCCCCGCAGGTAAGGTGCACGACCGTAAAAGCACGTTCGAAAGGAAATTAAAAAGACAGCTGCAGATCTACAGGAAGCCACGACGGCTGGAATAGGACGCATCGAAATTTGGAGGAAATGTGGATTCCCTGCAATGCCTGCTCAGTCCTTCCAAAGAGCAGAGGAATGTAGGAGAGGCAAAATAAATTAGCAAACAATCCAACCGAAATTCAAAGAGAACCACAAAATGAACCTACGGGGAAGGAGAAAAGAGAAACGCAGAGCTCGCACCAAACCCGGGCGCTGATTCTTTGGAGGAAAAACAAAACACAACAAAACAATAAAACAGATGAATGTCTGGAAAACAAGAGGAAGGAAAGGAGACAGCGCAATCAACGGTGGAAACAGACGAGGACTTGGCGGCAGAGCCCGTGGCGGGTGAGGGGCCTGCGGGCTGCCTGGGACCTGCGGCTTCTGCTGTCTCGGGCACACGGTGGCACGACACAGCACGGCCGCTGAGACAGCCCGGCCCCCGCGGATGGGGAAACCGAGGCTCAGACGGGGTGCACTCCCTGTGATGTGCTCCCAGAGCGCCTGGAGTTAAATGAATTCCTGGGACGAGAATCCAGACTTCTAGAATTGGCCACATTTAGAGTTCAGACCGCACGGGAGATATCTTGGCCCTAAATCCGAAGAGGGCTTTCGCCTTGCCAAAGTTCCCTCCCAACCACTGTGTCACAGGCCTCACAACGGCCCTAAGAGGCGGGTGGGGGCGGGGGCACTGCCCTATCCCGGTGAGCAGCATCGCATCCGCCGAAGGCCGCGGTGCAGAGAGGGGCTGGGCCATCGGAGCCCACAGAGCGTCCATCCAGTCAGGACAGCCACAGCCGAAGCTGCCGCCTGCCCCCGAGGCCCTGCCAAGCCCTGTGTCAGGAGGCAGATGGGACGTGGGGGCGCTGAGGCCCTGGCATCGTAGAGACCCGGACCCAGACCCCAGCCCGGTCACTTCCCCTCCCACGTCGCTCAAAGACGCTGACCCCAGGACGGACCCTCCCGGGAGAGTCAGAGGGGCATGTGCGTGTCCATGTCTGCACTTTCCCTGGCGATCGCCCCTGTCATTAGGCTGTTTGTCCCCGGGCACTCTGCTGTCCACTTTGGGGGGAGACAAGGCAGGCACTGCCCAGGGAGTGACGTGGCTCCTGTGGGGAGGGCCCTGTCCTTTGGGCCTGGAGAACCAGGGACAGAGGGAGAGGGCCGGGGACAGCAGAGGGCTCTGCCCACCTCCTGCTTGGAGCCCGGGCCAGAGCCCACGTGGGGGCCAGGGCATCACAGGTCGGGGAAGACGGGGGACTCTGAGACAGCGCTCCCAGGCCCCCGTGCAGGGGACTCAGGCACGGCAGTCACAGAAGTGCTGGGCGGGGTGGGGCCCGGCAGGGAGCTGGGGGCAGCACAAAGAGGGCCCTGGTTCAGGGACCAGGCAGGCTCGGCCACTCTGCGACAGCGAAGGCCAGCGGGCACCACGGGCCACGGCGGTCCCCTTCTCCCTGGCCGCCATGAGGTCGTGAAACTGCACAGAAAGCCTGGGTCCGTTACACAGAAGTTTCATTTCTCCCCTGCACACCTGATGAGTGACATGACCGTGTGGCTCTCACACCTGACACCTGGGACACCTGGAAAGCATCAGCCTGGCGCGGCATCAGCGGGAGCAGTTGGCGGCAGCTTCTGCTATCGTGATGACTGCTTCCCCACCCTCTGCGGGCTCCCTCCCTCCCCTGGGGAGGGCGCCTCCTTCCCCTGGAGCCCCTTTGCTCCCCGCTCATGGAGAAAGGCGCACGGTGAGCGCAGCAGCTGGCGAGGGTACATCGTTCATCTGCTGAGAAAAGTCATCTAAACCTCGGGGGAAAGGCCAAAAGACGACGGGGCGACCTGTTTCTGTCACGCCAGAGCCTTTTCTGGCACGTCGCCTCCTTCCTCCGGGGACCACGTCTCGTTATTCACGGTCCGGGCGGGTGGGAGCGGGTGGCCCCCCAGTCCCACAAAGATCGCTGCTAACTTTCATATCGGGAAGCTGAGGCAAGGTTCCGCCCCTCCCGTCTGCTCGACAAGGTCACCCCCAGGGGCGCGACTGCAGCCCACGTCACCCCCGACGTCACCACGGGAGCCCAGCTGTCTCTGGGCAGCTGACGGTGACTTCTCCGGCCCTTGGACTTGGCCACCCATCACCCTGGCTCCCTGAGGTGTGGGCTAAGAAAACGCAGACAAATGCTCAGCCTCTGTTTTAGGAGAACTATGTGTTTTTAAACGTTTGTGCCTTGTGCTTTAAGACACACTATGATTGTTGTTGTTGTTGTTGTTTATTTTTGGTACCTTCTCGGCACCCTGCACTCCCCTGCTCAGGTCACTGTGAGCTCTTCGTGCAGCTTCCTCTGCCAAGTCTGCCTTCGCTTCCAGAAGCTGAGCTCCACGAGGCCCGTCGGTCTACGACTCGCCCTATCTCTAGTGACTCAGTACATATTTGAATAAACGCATCTGATAAACAGGGTGGACAGACGAGGAATTTGCAAGGTGACCGGCAAAACGGACGTGGGGCCCGGGTGACCCGTTCTCTTTTTTTGCTAAACCGCTTTGACTTTGGTCGCCTGTCACCTGTCACTGAGGCAGCTGGAAACGAGAGAGCCTGTCTCACAGAGGTCGGAGCGGCTGCCGAGCCCCACGTCCCCAAAGCTGCAGGGCGGCCGGGCCGTCTGGCCTGACAGCTGGACTCAGACAACTGTGAGCCCGGCGGCTGCCAACGGGGCTTACCGGGCAAGGACTCGTCACCATGAGACGGGGGCAGAACAGAGGAGACGCTGCAGCCAGCCGGGACGGCAGGCCCCTGCACGTTGGCCGCTAGGCCTGGGGACAGGCCCGGTGAAGGAGCGTCTTCCAAAGGAGTCGCGACCTGACCGTAAGCTGCACACACCCTTTGGGTAGATTGTGGAAGCCACCGTGTCAGGTGGGACAGGCACAGACGATAGGGAATTGTGGGGACTGTGGCAAACGGGCCATCCGGCCTGAGGCGACAGTAACTAGTCAACTGTTCTCTGCCGACTGGGCCTCCGGCGCCCGGGTGTGTCTGGTGTATCAAGCTGGAAGCCTAGAATTTTTGAGAAATGTCTGAATTTTTTAAATACTGGCAACTCATCCTATTTCTTTCTTTCCGGTACGAGGATCTAGGTGGACAGCCACCCCTTTGTGACCCATTTTTAGGAGAAAGAGGAGAGCACGCTCGACCCCCGGTCTGAGGCGCCACGCCGGGCCGCAGCTCTCAAAGCGAGACGGGCCTTACCAGCCATCGACGCCAGCCTTCTGCAGCTCAGAGATCCCGAACGACAAGGACCCCATGAAGTCATTCCGGCTGGTCAGGTCCCAGTCCCAAATCTCCACGGACAGCCTCCTGTCCTTGTCCGATTCCTTCAGCTGGCTGCAGAGAGAGAAAAAGAGAGACGTCCACGCGGGCCCCGCGGCGTCTCGAGCGGGTGAAACGCGGGCCCCGGCTGTGTCAGGTGGCGTAGGCACAGACGATAGGGAATTGTGTCTCGTGTGCATCGCAGGGGAGATGCTGCTGGCCGACAGCCCGTGGCTGACACCGTGGCTGGGACCGGGCAGCGGGGACCGCTTCCGCCGCCTCCTGCCTCTCGAGGGCTCGCGGGGTTCTGGAAAGCCCACCGACACGGTCACTGTTGGAAATGCGGTGTCGGCCACAGGACTGTGGGCGTCTGCACACACATGGCGGGGGGCGAGGCTGGGGACCCGTACGGGGAAGGGGCTTGTGGGTGCTGGTCTGGGGGAAACTGTCTGAAGCGCATCCTCGGTTGAGGCTGAGGCGGGCCGGGCCCCCGGGTCTGCCTTGAGAGAGGAACAGGGGACGGGGCCACCCTCGAGGGGTCATGCTTTTGGCCCACGGCTGCGAGAGTCACACTGCACCCCGTATCTGCTGTGGGACTCTGAGCCTGTTCCTGCAGCCTCGTTGATAAGACGGGGGTGAAATGTCTGAGGGAGACAGCTCTTAACACAGTGCTTGCTGTACAAAGCGTCTGCTCAGCAAACGCCGGCCCACGTCACGAACACCTGTTGGCCCGGGTGTATCAGACAGCAGTCCCCGGGCCACTGGAGCACCAGCCCGAGGGACCCTGCATGGAAGCTGGCAGGCAGCACCCGGCAGGCTGCGGGCCCAGCCCCGGAGAGGTCACCCCGCACCCCACGGTCTGCCGAGACGCACAGCTTCTCCCACGACTTGCTGCACCTAGCAACGCATCACACTATTTTCTCTCCCCCCCGACTCCCCCACGCCACAGACATTCTCAACTCTATTTAAAAAAAAAGGCTCCGATGTTTACTTGGCTTGCAACACAAAGATGCAGATGGATGGGGAGGAAAAGGAGGAAGGAAAGAGGGAGGAAGGAGGGAAGGAGGGAAGAAGGGAGGGAGGGAGGGGAGAAGGGAGGGAAGGAGGAAGAATGAAAGGAAGAAAAGAAGGAGAGAAAAAAAAGAGGAGAAGAAGGAAAAGAAGAATGGAGGAAGCAGGAAAAAGGATGAACGTGCACCTTCTTCCCCCTCTCCAAAACCCTAAGAGGGAAGGAGGGAGGGAGAGAGGGAGGGAGGGGAGGAGGGAGGTGGCGAGGAGGGAAACAGGAACTGGGGGAGGACTTCCGGGTCTGGGGCCCCCCAATGATTTCCACTCACAATCTGAAGGTCTCGTTCCACTCGGGGTTCAGGGAGCACTTGATGGTTTTGGTCTTCTGCTTGCTCTCACTTTTGGGGTCGGGAATGAGTTTCAGCTTCACGTAGGGATCTGACAAGCCGTTGGGGTCCATAGGGACGAGGTTTTTGGCATCTCTTACTGGAAAGGAGGAAAAGCAGTCTCAGCAGAGAGGTGTGGACCAGCAGCGGCGTGTGGGCCGACGCTGGCACCACGCGTACTCAGCGGGGACTTCGCCCCGTTAGCGCCGGCCGCTGACATGCGTCCGGAGCGAGGGCCATGAATGTGGGGGGCGCGCTCCGACCGGGTGTGAAGTCGCTCTCCCCACTCTGCCCCCAAGGTCAACGGTAGATCCTCTAAGCGTGTTTGCACAAGGGCTACAAGAAAGCCTGGCTTCCGTCACCAGGCGTCACGTTTCCCAGGCTCGCCCTCGCCGTAGAGCAGGTGTCAACGCTTCGCTTACGGCTGAGTGACATCGCAGTGCAGGGCTACAGACGATTTTGTTCACCCACTTGTCAGCGGATCGATACCTGGGGCGTTTCCACGTTCTGGCCATTGTAAACGGTGCCGCTAGGCACAGCTGTGTTCTCTGGCACAAAGGGTCACATGTCGTGAGATTCCGCTTACACGCGACACCCAGAACAGGTAAATCCTCTCACGGGAAGCACACTAGCGGTTGCCAGGGGCTGGGCGGGGAGGCAGGGGGAGTGGCCACTTAATGGGCATGTGGCTTCCTTCACAGGTGACAAAAATTCCTCGGAACTAGATGGAGATGAAGGTCGTATGCACAACACCGCTGAATGTACTCACGTCACTGAACTGTACCCTTCAAAATGCTTAGTGTTCTGTGATGTGAGTTTTACCTCCATTCGAAAACCAAAAAAGCTAAGAGGAACCCACCAAAGCCTACCAGCCTCGCAGCGCCCGTAACTAGTGCCCAGACGGCCCTCTGAGGGAGGGCTGGAGAAATACTGGCTCCCCCCTCAGTGGAGAACTCCTGAATGTAAGGCCGCATTACAGGAGGGACGGAAGCAGAGGCCAGCGGTGTAGACGCGACTGCCCATGTCAGGAAGAGCTGGAGTAAGACGTCGGCCTGGACAGACGGGACGAAGTTAATTAGGGGTCGGTGCAGACGCCGGGGACGTATGCAGCTAGGGCACGGGGACGAGCCACATAGACCTTAGGGCCACAGCACCGACGACCGTCTCTCAGCAAAAGAAAGAAACAGAACGAAGCGCTCTATCAGCACGCTGGACCGAACGGGCCGCCCAGAGGCTGACGCGCAGTGACCGGCTCCCAGCAGGAAAATCGACCTCGGAACGTCTGTTCTGGAAACGGCCGTCGCATCTCTAGGTGGGAGAGGGAGGCCGGGCGTCACTGCCGGAAGCTGGAGACAGCTCATCGCACGCGCACGATGAAGCCACCGGAACTACAGCGCCACGCCGACGACACGGGTGACCCCGTTAAGGTCGGGAACAGCAGACGCCCCCTGCCACCGCCCTGTTCTCCTGGGCTTCTAACCGCTCCGTAAGTGCAGCAAGGATGGCATCGCAGGGGACCAAGCGCCCCGACGTCCCGCAACCTCTGTTTCCACCCCGCCAGTCACCCCTCCTCCCTGGAGCTCGCCCCCCAGAAACGACATCTGGTCTGCATCTCTGTGTCAAGTGCCCACCTCCTGTTTTTCCTGCTCCTCAACAGTAGCGCCCGCTACAACCGGGCTCGCCAGCTGTCCAACGAGCCCCGCAAACCTCTTCCAGCTCCCCGCCCCTCCGGCCTTTACTCCTCTCCCCCGGCTCAGATGTCGGGGTGCGTTACGGACACTCCCTTACAAACGCCCTCAGCCCCCTTGCTCCCCCTTTCTTTCCACGTGATTTATCTGACAGAGCCCCAGCCCCCGTTCCGTTCAAACACCTGCCCTTTGCTGCCCTGCATCTGACTCCCCTGAAATCAGAGGCCAGTCAGGGGCTGGGGCTGGAGAAGTCGATGGGGAAAGGGACGAGTGACAAGGGACGCGAGGGTGCAGGAGGTGACCTCCCCCGCCCCCTAGCCAGGGCACTGCCCTCCGGGTACCCCCAGGCCGAGCTCAGGCTCCGTGTCGGCCCACACGCCGCACCTCGTTCTGGCGCCAGAAGCGAGTACGTCTCCTCCCTGATTCGGTGAGTTCAATAAGCCGGTCCCTGCGATGCGTCAGGCGTCCTGCTAGGCCACAGGGACACGGAGGCCAACGTAAGGTGCTGACCCTGTCCCCGAGGAGTATGTAAGAGCAAATTGATTCCAAGTGCAGGTGGTCCACAATGACGCAGGAGCAGAGTCTGCGTCTCGCCGGCCACATCTTCACGGCTCTGAGCTTCTGTGTCTCAGCTGATCAAATGGAGATGGAACAGACCTCACTGGGGGGCTCCGAGAGTCCCGTCGGATAAGGAATACACGTGCTCGGCACAGCACCTGGCACCGGGGGGGCAGCCGGGAAACACGAGCACCGTCGCCCCTCTCAGCATGGCCGTTACTATTCCCACGCGCACCCTCTTTTCCCAGATCCGTCCATTTTTATCACGAAGATCTGACCACCTTCGAATGGATTGATGCTGAGCAGAATCTCGTGGTTTTCTTCTTGAGAATAATGGGTCTGGCCCTCCCCTCTGAGCTCTTCTAGAAAGGGGAACCCTCGCCTGCAGGAGAGTGGCCGGGGGCTGTGGGACAACAGCTCCTGCGGATTCCGGTTCGGCGAGTCTGGAGCGGAACCTGTTCGTCTGTTTTTCGAACACGTTCCCGGTGACACGCGGCTGGTCCACAGAGCACGCGCGAAGTCAAGCTCTCCTCCACGACAGGATTTCTTAGGGTGTCCGTGCCTCTTCCTCACAGAATCCAATCTCGTTTCCTGAGCCTTCCGAGGACAATAGCATGAGCCGGTCCCTAGGCTGGGATCTTGGAATGACGCACCTGTCACACAGCAGGCTGCGTACAAACACGATCGGAGAGGCTCGGAAGTGCCAGGAACTCGTCTGGTCGAGTGGCACACGTACGCACGCATAGTGGGACTAGCTCATCTTTCCTCTCTCTGCTGAGGCCACAGTCCCCTCCCTGCCTTGCGAACGGGCACCAGGGGACGGTGACGGGGAGAACACCCTTTAAGGTGACGAGGTCACCGTGCTTTCGGCACAGTGTACTGCATTCCCGGGCCGATCTCACCACCGGTACTTTGAAACGGCCTCTCCTTGGGCACCTCCTTCCCCAAGCCGGACGTTTCTAACTGAGACGTGACGCCCTGTCCCCCTCACCTTCACTCAACCTTCCTTCTACTCCTGCCCTTGGCGTCATCCCCTGGCGAGGGAGTTGGAAGTCCCCGTGGAAAAGGATGGAGCGGACGTGGTTCCAGGGCGGCCAGCTGCGAGGCCACTGAACCATGAGCGCGGGACAGTAGCTACGGGCTGAGATCCGGAGACCGGTCTCTCCGGAAGCTTTTCGAAGTAGAGCCACGTTCCCCAGCAGCAAGACAGCCGCAGAGGCATCGAGGAGGTAAGAGATTCCAGACCGCGCTCGGCAAGACTGACGGCGATTTTTCTTGATAAATGATTCTTTACTATGTGGGTCGAGATCCGGCCAGATGGGAAGAACACTTCCCGTGGAGCAGGAATAGCACCCTGCCCCCTGGGGGCGGTTCTAACCACACAGGAGAAAAGTGTCCTCATCCGGGGAACGGGAGGCGGGGGGTGGGATCCGGTCTGGCGGGTCCCATCAAAGGGTCTT